AGAGGAAAAAATTCTGCATAGGATAGTGCTTGCAGCTTTCTTTTATCTTCATTGTAGGGAATTTACGGTTGTTCCAAAAAACGAAAAGAACTTTTTTGCACCGGACTAATATAGATAGAACTTTAATAATTCCTCAACATCCTAAGTTTGTGGAGCTTTCATTTGGAATACTGTTGCGCCTAGACGCCGAGCTAAATTTTTCGGATTGTCACAGTTATAACATAGAGGAAAACTTCTTCAAAATGCCTATGCTTTTAGCCTTGCGCTCTGCTACTCCACATCCTCCAAACTTAATAACTCACGTGACTGAGCTCCTTTGGTGTCGGATGAAATGTAATAGAAGACTCCTTGACCACGCGCCATTTTTAACAAATTTCCAATGCTTGGAAAGAACCTGGAACTCCCAAAACAGCAGTGAAGTATTGGTTCAAAAAAGTTGCTATACCGACTTCGGTAACTCTTTCGGTAGCTCTTTCGTTAAGACATTCGGCACCTGTGGCTTTGATGAAGAAGAAGCAAAGATTGTCGATAAAGAAGGATTTATGCAATCCTTTGCCTTTGCCGCTTCTCTTTTCTGTAATTCTAGTGCGGCCCTTGCTCCTTCTTTCACCGCTTCCGCCGCTAATCTCTCATTTTTTCTCTCCTCTTCAGGATAATCGGGCCAAAGATAACTGTCGGCCTCATCGGCGAGTCTGACATCTACAAAAAATTTTGGCAGTATGCCAAATTTCGAGGGCTTTTTCAATGCAGGGATTTTTTGTGATCGATTCCAATTCCAACCATCAAGCCTTCCAACTCCCAACTTAGCTAAAATATGTTACAAGATATGTGAGAGATGACGGTAGGATAGAGTGGTTGTATATACTCACCTAATCTATCAAACAAGAGGGATTGTAGCATCTGTAATTTCTCCTTTTTGAGAGGATACTTTTTCAGGTAATAGCCAAGATTCACAAGCTGAAATACGAAACAACATTTAGGAAGCTCATGTGACAGATAAGTTGACAATCTGATTACCCTATGAAGCTGCATACTCTCTATAGTAACCCTCAATTCAGCCGATGGAACTCCTTTCAGATGTAAGAAATCTCGATATGCCATTTCTGATGGCAACAATTCAATCATCGTAGCTTCTGATGTAGCAGAAGACTGAAATCTTTCCCAGTAATGCGAGTTTGGCAGCTCATTTCTTTTCGATTTCTTTGAAATGTGGAGCATTGCTTGTGCTGCAAAATCGGCCGTTTCTTTCATCAACGAGAAAACTAAGAATAAGTGAGAGATGGGTGGTAAGCGAGATTGATAAGTGATTACACATGTATCGCATTTGCTAGCATATCATTTGTAGTGAAGGAACGTTACTACTGAAAAGAAGAAACCTTGGACTGCTGAGGTTCATTTTGAGCGGAGGTGGCCTTCACAGATGACGAACTCGACGGTGGTGCAGACGATGCCTTCTGCGAGGGTTCAGTGGATGTCGATGGTTTAGCGGAATGCGATGTTGGTTTAGGGGAAGAGGAAGTCGAGGCGCTTGACGCAGGCGCCTTTTTCGAAGGTGGAGACGGTTCCTAAATTGTTCATTTCAGAAATCTGTATAAATAAAGGAGTCTCTTTGTATGTAAGTCCATGTATGTCTGTACGTATGTTCCGCATAGCAAACTTTGCTTCTGAACCATGCGGACTTTGCACACATACACTTCGGAGCGGGGCAGTGTTATAGGATACTTTTTGTCACCAATCGATATCGATTTTATCAATTTTTTTAGCAGAGTTCGGGCTGCAGGGCTGGAGATCGCACTGAGAAGTAGGTAAGCATGCTGATTACAAATAACTTATTGAGAGGGCCGAGAGGAACCGGGGTTTGCCTGCCTATTATATCTAAAAGGACTGCAATTACCACGTGAACCTGTTTCTTGCATATGAAGTGTGTGGTCTCATGTTATCCACGGGCACTCTGTACCAGCTTTGATGGTTAGGAGTATGTTTATTGCAAGCATAATGTACGTAAAAGAATCCTTACCTTTGGGGGATTTTTTATCTGTGAAAGTCCCAAAGACTTCGCCACTTGCTCGAAATTTGCAGCATCCGCTGCTTCATCAATTTCGAATTCGGTTATGGGCGTCACGTTTTTTATCGGAACATGACCAGGAAGCATGGGTAATGATTGTGTAAGTTCCCAAGAGTTTGGAATTTTGTCGATGCCAACGTTATCTAAAACAGAAAAGCATTCGAACATTCTGAATAAAACAAGCTTGAATGACCCAACAAAATAAGTGAA